CAACCTGACATGTCCCTAGCTGCCACCCTAGAAAACCACCTCTGACAAAAACCATGTCCCCCTGCTGCAAAGGGGGACTTTGCGATACATGTTAGGTCCAGCTTAGTGTCTGCTCTGGGCCATGAGCTGGGCCAGGTGGGGGGAGTCTCTGGTCTGGGGCGCTAAAGGAGAGATACAAACTATACCTGAGCAGCAGAGAGAGCTGGGCTGGTCATCTCAAAGAAAGAGCAGAGAAACATGTCAAACATTAAAAGAACACCTGGAGTGAGGGTTTGAGTCCTGGCAAGGCTTTTTGTCTTTCTTTGCAGGATGAGTTTAGATGGAGATCTGGGTAATTTAGAGCCCAAATAAAAGAATATAAATAACAAAGGCAGCATTAGTGCTTCATGAAATATAAATACTGGCATATTCAAAAATTATAGTGTTGAGACAGTTGCTTTCCTTAAGGAAAAAAAAATCAATAAAAAGTGAATACATACTTGTCACCATCAGAAAAAAGAAAAGTTCCCAGTAACAGAGCCCCTGGTCCCTGGTGGCTCTTCAGAGCCACTGTCTTTTTCAGAAGCTTCCCACACACCATTTAGACCCCCTTGGTCCCTGGGGACAGGCATGCGGACTATTTCTGTCATTGAATCATTTGTTCCAAGTCTGCTCCCTGGAGCATACTATAAGCCCAGAAAACATTGCATGAATACATGATTTCAAAGATTCTAAAAGAAAAACTTTAATCTCTAAAAGGATTCTACTACATTGTTCTTTATATGTCACTAAGTATAGATCATCATCTACCCAGAATTATTTGGGATACTGACCTGAAAAAGGGGGAGAACTGAGGAGATCTTTTAGTGAAATCAGCCTTGTTCTTAAAATCTAATTGGAAGCTATTTGGAAATTTTACCTACATCTTGAGAGAAACTTGGACACCCCAAAATATTATTAAGCCATGTTTTAACTGTGGCCATGATTGTCTTCTTCATCCAGAAAGCACCTATTGATGTAGAAATGCAATCTAACACACGCGTTTTCCTCTGTTTTGTTTGCCTTCTAACATACACACAGTACGCTGTTCAATGAACGTGGCATCTCCCTCCCTACAAGTGTAATCACCAGGAAGATCCTCGACTGTAGTCTCTGGGGCTCTCTGTACTCCCAAGCCAGCCCTGCCCCCAGCCTCAGGCAACCACTGATCTACTTGGTGTCTAATACTTAATTAAAATAAAGGTAATCATAGTTGTTGAGTCAGGCATTTTTAAATAATGCTTTGGCCGAAGGGTATAAAAGCAGACCGAAGAGGCATGAGCATGACGAAGAAATTGGTAACCTCGCTAGCCAGGCGCCAGGTCTGAGTCCCCTCTGAGAGCGGGGTGGGAGAATGCAGGAGGGCAGAGACGAGACAGCCCAAGGACTTTCCACAAATGACCTGGTAAGACGTCTTCATGATTACAGAAAAGAAACACAAAGGCCGGCATAAACCGCTGGGATTATGGGTTTCTGAACACAAACCTGGATTCATTCTCAGTCCGATGGCTGAAAGAGCCCCTGGGTCATCGGACTTATCTCAGGAGATCTAAGTGATGATGCCTCTGAAGAGGAAACACTCTAGTAAACGTGGGACTTGTGCCTCAGAGGATGTTTGCGCTCTCTGAGGCTGTTAATTAAAAAGTCCTGTGTCTGTGGTTCCCACCAAGGCTTATTAGCCAAAAGAAAAGGAATGGTGGTCTGTCTATGAGAAACTAAGCGTGGAAAAGACAAGAACATGAGATAGAGGGCTACAGGGAGGTGCGGGGAGAGGAGCCCCCCCACCCCCCACCCCACACACACACAGGCACTGTTTGGGCCCTGGGGCTACTGCTGGAAAAGACAGTCATGTGCTGCGCAGGAGTAAACAAGTCCCACAGTCCTCTGAGTCAGAGACTAGAAGGGGGTGCACATAAAGCAGGTTCAGTGTGCTGGAGGGCCAGGTGGAGGAACTTCAGGGGGCTGAGCAGGGAAAGCTATTCAGGAGGTGACCTTTGGGCTGAGACTGGATGACTAAGAGGAACCAGCTCTGCTGGGGAAGGAGCATGGTAGAATCCGGACCGGCATGTGCAGAGGCCATGAGGGTGGTGAGGAGTTGGTATCCGCAAAGGGATGCCCAGGTGGCCTGATCACAGTGACCAAGGCAGAGAGGAGCGAGTTGAGGTTGGAGAGCTAAGCTTTGCCTCAGAAATGCAAGCCTGAGCGAACTTAGTTAGAAAGGCAGCTGTGTGATGCCCGGGAGCTCTGAGAGATGCCGCTGCCGGCTGTCCTGGGAACACCTCCAGCTTACTTACTGGGTACTGATCCTATTACAAATTGGCAGGGAAGGTGTAGTTATTCCAGCCCCATCCCTCCTTTCATATGTGAAGGAACAGAGACCTAAAGGTCTTACCTGGTAAGCTGGGGGAAATCTTTGCCGTTCACAATCACAGGTGAAGGAAGGGCTCACTTAACGCAGAATGTAAAGAGCTGCGGGCCGGAAGGCTGAGCAGAGTGACTGAGAGTGAGCGAGGGGGAGAGGGGGCCACAACTTGGCTTAAGTCCAAATGTTTCACCGCACGCAGCCGCTAGGAACACACCCGGCTCTCCCGCGGGCAGGAAGTCCTGCAGGATGACCTCACGTGGCTTGTCAAAGCTGGAAAGGACTCAGCTGTGCCTGGGTAGTAGCTGGTGGTCTATCAGACAACAGGATACTCTCAATAATAAAATGGGGCAAATGACTGCTGACTGGTACACACAGCCCAAACATGCTGAGAAAGAAGCCAGGGACCAAAGAGAATGTGCCAGAGGACCCCTTGTAGTTGAAGATCTGGATTAGGCAAAAATAACTGATGGTATCCTTGGACCAGGAGTGGAGGTGGCCTGTGAAGCAGTTTTGTGGAACTTTGGGGGTGATGCTTTTATGAGTGTCTGTCTTGATTGTGGTGATTATGTGTGTGTACATTTTCTGAAACATTTGAGTGAGTGAGTGTGCCCTTTTTGATGTACGTTGATTATAGCTCAGTAAAGTTGATTGCACTTTGATTTTTTAAAGGAGGGGAAAAAGCTTTTCTGAAAAGCAAAGATTTTTGGTTGGCTTGCTGTTTTGTCAGTTGAATTCTCTTTTGTACCTACACCTAACAGCTACCAACCTGGTTCTAGTCTTTCTCTGTGAGCCCCGAGTTCTCTCCACCAACCCATCTACAGGTTTCCAGGCCTGCATCTGCTGGCCCCAGCCATCAGATGCCTGCAAACCCGTAATCAGAACCTGAATTCAGGAAGGGCAGACTTAAAAATCGAGAAAGCAAAGGGAATAGGCAGGAAATCAGGCCCCATCCCAGCCGTGCAACACACCTCTGTTTAATAACCAGCCCCATCTGGCGGGCTAGGTACTGTTGCTTCCTTCAGGTGATTTTGCTGGACCCCGTCTGAGGTATCAGGATTGTTTGGCTCTTCCTTTCCAAGTTCATGGACACAACACATTTCTATCTAATTTCTGCAGAGGTTCCCTGGCCTCCATGAGACACTACTGCGTGTGTAGGTGCTGGGCCTATGAGAGCTCGCAGGGTGGAAGGCAGCAGCTCTTTACAGATAAACATGTCCCCGCAGAGAGATAGCACCCCTGACCCCTGTGTGCCCTTTGGTCTGTGGTCAAATGGAGAGGAGGGGACTAGTTAATGCTGCACAAATGGGACATCTGAAAACAGGCTGCTTGGAACTTCCGTGACACAGGACACTGCTTTTACCTCTTAGAAAAAGGAATTCCAAACAAAGGCACGTTGCATCGCCCGCTTCTCAGACCAGGAGGGAAGGCACGGTGCCCTGGCAGGCCTGTGTGCCCCGCAGCACACAGCAGCAGGCACGCAGCCCTACATCGGCCAGCTCACTTCATTTTCTTCCTCCCTTTAGAAACTTCTGAGATTTATCTGCCACACCAAAGCGGCATTACAGTTCACATAAAACTGGGCCCCTCACAAATGGCAGCCACGTTCTGCTACATCGTGACTTCAAGAAAAGTTACATCACTAATCATCAAAGCTGGAGAAAGAAAAACCGTTTCCTTTAGCTGCCTTAATCCAGAAAATCACTACGTCATGGAGATCCAGAAAAATATCGGTAAGTCCGCGCTCGGCCGGTCCAGCCTCCCCACTTCCTTCCCGGTGCTCCCCCTGCCCCTGAGCGGGACGCGAGATCTGGGCTGCGCTCGCTCCCTGTTTAGTCCTTACGTGGCCACTTAGGATTGCAAGTGTCTTACACAGCTAAGCAGTGGAATCCCTCCATCAGCCCTGGGAGAAGTTGACAAAGCACTTCCCGAAGATGATGCAGCTGGGAACTAGCGGGGGACAGAAAGCCGGGCCTTGGGCTCCTGGATCTTGCCTGGTCACCACGGTGCCACGCTGTCCTGTCACAGTGCAGGCTCCAGGTCTGGGGCTCCGTCTGAAGCGCCACGGGCATCAGAGTGAAAGTCAAAGGAAGTGGTGGGAAAGGACGCAAGAGCTTTGGAGATGAGGGGCTAGGTTTGGCCTGAGTTCCAGGGCCAAGGGTCACGTGACCTGATGCTGTGACTTCTCTGACTGAACTGCTTTGTGACTTAGTTTTCTCTCCGTAAATGCAGAGTCAGCGTACCAACTCACAGAGTTGTGATGAGGTTGAAATAAAATAGTAGATTGAAAAAGTGGGATATGTGTGAACAAGCTTTAAATATTTAGCATTATAATTGTAATCTAAGCCTGGGGTAGGGATTGACATGGGAAACAATAATCAGGTAGAAAAAATTCAATGTATCCTTTCCCGGTCATTTTCAGGCATGCATGCAAAATAGGAATTAATTATTAAGTATGTTAACAATGAGGTTACTGTAATCTAATCAAAACCCTATACTCAGAAAATAACAGCCTTTAACTGAGAAAATAAGAATTGGGCAGTAGATCAAGAAGCAATAAAAAGGAAATGTTTGATAAGTAAAGCTAAGATTCAATTATCTGCAAATACAAATTAAATAGGCAAATCTCTGTCTAGTGTCATGGAAAAATTGAAAAAGTATAAGTATACAAAACTGGAAGAATAGATGTTGATTCAATGGTATATACAAAGGTGGTTTCTAAAATTGCAAGAGACTACTATACTAATAGCTGTGGCAATATGAATGAAATGGATGATTTTCAGATAATTTATTCAGCCAGATTGATTCATAAAAAAGAAACCTAAGTATATAAATAACTAAGGAGGAGAATGAAAAAATAGCCAGTTGGAGAAGAGTAGGGGAAGATTTGGGTCAGAGATGGCTTCATCGAGGAGTCCTATAAAACTTCAGAAAGCACATGATTTCAGTGATACTAAACCACTCTAGAGAAAGGTTGACAACATGTTTCTGGAAAAGGCCAGGTAATAACTATCACAACCGCATTGTGGGCCAGATGAACTCTGTCACAGCTCAGCTACTCAATCTGCAGCGAGAGCACAAAATCAGCTATGACATTAGGTAGACAAAAGAACAACAAATGTTCCAGTCAAACTGCATTTACAATAACACGCTTTGAATGGACTGGGCCCATGGCTGGTTGGCTGGTTCCTGTTCTAGAGCATAGAAAGAAACGTACAGAGCATACAGAGTTCGCTTTAAAAAACTCCTGGCGTCAAAATCTGCCAAGACATTAAAAACAAAACCACATAGACCAATCTCCTATGAATGTACATGTGAAAAATCCTAAATAGATATAAAATGTAAGTATATCAAATATTGAAATACAAAAGAGAAGGTGAAAATAAGTGAAGAGATACACCATGTCCCTTAGTGAAAATATCAGTATCTTAAAAGTGCCAGTTCTCCCCCAAATTGATTCAGGAGTTTAAGTTAGTTATAATCAAAATTTCAGTGAAACTTTTAGAGCAGAGACTATGGATACACTTAGGAACTCAGTGGACTGGTGTGTTGTTAAAAGGAATGAAATCAACCTGTATATCTGACATGGAAGGACGCCCCAATTTGTCCCACTGAAACAGTGCAACTTAAAATAGGAGGGCGGCTTATACAGTCCAGTCCCACCTGGCTGAGTAAGCGCATGTGATCCTCCAGAACCCGAAGTCTGGCGGGATGAACACCAACAGGCTTACAAGCCCGGATGTCCATCCGAGGCTAGGGAGGCCAGCAGGCAACATTCACTTTCTCCTGCCTGTTCTGCGGCTGTGTTTTTTACAAGCACACCTTACCTTAAAAATCAAAATCAGGGCCCTCCCTGGTGGCGCAGCGGGTTAAAGCACTGCACTAAGAAACTGAAGCCACTTCCGCATGAGTTCGATCTCCGCCTGCCCCGGAGGTGACCATATGGTGTGGCAGACCTCTCCTGACCCGCCCGCTGCTCCCCTCAGCAGTGTATGTCGTCGATCTGCCTGTTCTGCTCCCCGCTCTGTCTCTGGTGAATCCTCTCACCCTCCGCATCTCTGGCCTGTACCCCAGTTCTGTACGAATAAATAAATCTTTAAAAAAAAAATCAAAATCAACAGACAACTATAAAACAGAGACATTTAAAAAAAAAAAAAAAGGAAGCCTGAATAAATAAATAACCAAGGAGGAGAATGAAAAATAACCCAGTAGAGGAGAACAGGGTTTGCTTTATTGCTTCTTGCTAACCACTTAAATCAATAGCTGACTGCCATGTTGAAAGAGGAGAGAGGTAACAAGTGACCCACGCCCATATCAAACCCACACACCAGCAAGCCTCTTGATCCTAGGAAACCACACACCATTTACCACGTAGTAAATACCCATTGTTTTCAAAACATCATTTTGGAAAATGATACGAAAACATGAGTTACTGAAAGAATGGCCCTAGACCAGGGGTGGTGTTCCGCCTGCCCCTGTTGTTAAAGCCTTTCAAGCTTTGACCCCCTCTGTTGTTGAAATGGTCCCACCATCAGGAGTGGACATCGGGTTGTGACTGACTTCAGGGGGAGCTCGTCTCCCACCTCTGGCTAAATCACTTAAACTATTTAACATTTCTGCACACAACGGGCCGGGGAGGCACCCCATCGCCTCCACTTCTGTACCTGTGTGTCCAACCTAAAACCGTAACTCTCAGCAACCAAATGAAAAGCGCTTTCCAGCCCCACGCTCCCAGTCTCACCACTGGTGTAGTGGTAGAACCCCAGGGGGAGGTGGCGCTTTTTGACCCCTGTTCTTGGCATAGAATTACATCAGACTTGCTGGGGTGGCTCAGGCAGGTGTGTCTAAAAGACCCCCAAGTGAGTCTGGCGAGGAGCAGGCCAGAGCCACTGCTCCCTCGCTGGGTTAGCTAAGAGTGTGCACCGGCGAGAGCCGCACCCTGTGATCCTGGGCACACAGGACGTGTGGGTGGAAAGCTACCAGGCCAGCTCTGGAAGGAAAAAAGGTGGCTTGATGTGAACGGTGACGTGTCCACGCCTCCTAAAAATAGACGCACTCTAATGACACTATGCCTCTCAGCTGCACTCGCAGCCCTGTTATCTGACACTGTCTCTTAGCTTGTTTGGCTGGTGGGTTAGCAAGAACTCAGGTTGACCAAACACACCCTGGGCTTTTGTCTTGGCATTTGGGCACTGCACCCTGACTCTGGAGCTGCTTGCAAAATGAGAGGTTTGGTGTGGGTAACCTCCAGGTTCTAGGCAGCTCTGAAATTCTCCCTTAATCCCCTTTTGAAAAGACAGTAATAGTCACAGATGATGGTGTCGCACCAGACCCCACGGCACCTGTTGGGCTCCTCGTGTTCAGCATCAGGGAGATGTGCCCGGCCCGTGGCTACTTCTTCCATCTGCTTTCCTCTTGGTTCCTCCTTGAAAGCAGGATGTCTCACTTTTTTTTTCAAAGGCTTCAGAAACAAAGCCTAGCCAAGGATGTCATTCATTATTAGCCTTTAAAACAAATCAACTGCCATGGTAATAAAATACCAGCATTTGAACCACGGGGCAGGAAAGTAACTGTGCCCGTGAGTCCCAGCCACAAAGGAGCTTGTAGATACAGAACGAGCTTGGAATGTTGATGAGTGTGCTGACGGGAAAGCCAGTTTACAAGGTGGAGCTTGGAGATGTGCCCTAAAAATTGTGAAACAGTCATTCATTCTGAAGAAGGGGAGTCGACCCTCCCAAAGCACAGTCTCCATGGCAAATGGCCTCCCTCGGCTCCCTGTAGACCCGGCACAGACCCAAGGCTGGACTCCAGGAACTTTACCTAGGAAAGGGCGCCGTTGGGAGTTGTCTTAGGTCTGGTTCCCTGGAAGCGGAGGCTGACATGGGGGTTTTTATTTAAGACACTTCTCCTGAGTGCGCCCTCAGAAGAAACCTGTGAAGGAGAGACAGACGAGGCAGAGAGTCAAGAAAGATGTCTTCCTAGCTGAGTGTTGCCCCAGCTGGTTCTGGGGTAGGGATGGCATTGGGGTTTTGTCCCTTGAGTCAGAGGCCAGACTTTCCCTCCTGCATGGGGCAGTGATTGGCTGAGGGCCACTGCTCCCTGTGGGATGGGAGGAGCCCAGCCGCTCTTCTCCAGTTCCAAGCAGGCCCCCCTGCAGAGCCACGACCCCTTTGTCCACCAACACCCACACAGTTGGGGATGGGGACACCCACTTGGGGGAGCCCCCAAGAGTCTTGTATGGGCATTGGGGGCCCAGAGTGTCTGGGTGACACTCCTGACCAGGATTGCTTTGTGACTGTGTTTCAGACTGCATGTCGGGTCTGTGCCCGTTTGGGGAGGTTCCGCTTCAGCCCCCGACTTCAATGCTGCCCACCCTCAACAGAACTTTCATCTGGGATGTTAAAGCTCACAAAAGGATCGGTCTAGAGCTTCAGTTCTCCCACCCTCGCCTGAGGCAGATTGGGCCTGGGGAAAGCTGCCCGGATGGAGTCACTCACTCCATCAGCGGCCGCATCGATGCCACCGAGGTCCAGATCGGGACCTTCTGCAGCAATGGCACCGTGTCCCGCATCAAGATGCAAGAGGGAGTGAAAATGGCCTTGCACCTGCCTTGGTTCCTCCACAGAAACATCTCTGGCTTCAGCATCGCAAACCGGTCGTCTATAAAGCGTGAGTGCCCCCCTTCCCCCCCTCCCCTCTGTTTTGCTGAGGTTGGAACATGCAGAATCACCTGTATTCTAGGTCAGAACTGGTGAGATGTCAGCAATTTTGTGTGATTCAACCTGAGAACCTCAAAGACGAGCTCCTCTTCTGTGAGCAACGAGGGCCCCTCTAGTGAACCCCTCCTCTCTATTAGACAGGCTGGTGGTCACTTGCTCTCGTTTGTTCTTTGTGCCTGTGAGGTTTGTTCGCAAGGAAGAAAATGGAATTGGTTTTGCACACCTGTCCTGACCGCTCTGGTGCGAATTTCTTTGTCCTCTCTCTACACTTTCCCGTGTCCTAGAGTTGTATCTGTGATGTGCCAGAGCTGCCCACATCAGCTCACGAGAGCAAATTGTTCAATGTTCAGGAATTTGGGGAATCAGTGTTAAACAGAGCAGTGAATAACAATAAAATTATATGGACTTACAATTAAAAAAGTGAATTTAGGAACAAAAGTAATAAATATTTAAAATGCATGACTTCCTAATTATTATACTACATTTTCTGTGATCTGTGCACTTGAGGTTTAGTTGACTGTATCTGCCTGGTGGATATATTATATGATGGTATATTCTCTTCCTGGCTTCAGCTTTAGCTCCCAAGTATTTACACCAAGGAAATAGGCAGATACTACAGATTTTTTTTTTTAACCTCTGCTGAGTCTGTTATTAAGTTTTACCCAAAAATGCCCATGTCCCTTCATCCTACCATAATGAGACTCCCCACTCGGGACCAAAGCACCTCTAACCCCGAGCCCCTCAGTATGGACAACTGGGCTAGCTGCCTCCTTTTGTTTCTCATTTCGGTTCTGCTCTCCCTAGGACTGTGCATCATCGAATCTGTGTTTGAGGGTGAAGGCTCAGCGATCCTGATGTCAGCCAACTACCCAGAAGGCTTCCCTGAAGATGAGCTCATGACCTGGCAGTTTGTCATCCCCGCACACCTGCGGGCCAGTGTCTCCTTCCTCAACTTCAATGTCTCCAACTGCGAGAAGAAGGAGGAGCGGGTGGAGTACTACATCCCAGGCTCCACCACCAACCCTGAGGTGTTCAAGCTGGAGGACAAGCAGCCCGGGAACATGGCTGGGAACTTCAACCTCTCTCTGCAGGGCTGTGACCAAGATGCCCAAAATCCAGGGATCCTCCGGCTGAGATTTCAAGTCTTGGTCCAACATCCACAGAATGAAAGCAGTAAGTGAACCCTGCTTGCCTTCCCCTCCGCCCCAACACCTTCTTTCCTACTTGGGGTGAGGCTTTCTTCCTAGTTCTTATCGCTGGCTTCTGGGACACTTGGACTCTGGACTCTGGGAGCTTCAGGAAGTGCTCTGCTAGGCAGGGAGAGCCCATGGCCAACGCCTGGCGTGACACTCCATTTCAGCACAAGATATGAACACAAACGTGTGTTCAAGGTGCTGAAATGCCTTTAGTGAAGTCATTGGAAGATTCCCTTTTGAGTCCCATTTCTTGACCCTAGAATGTAAACAAGGATGTCACCAACACCCACAGCAATGATCGTAATAACGTACACTGTTTTGCTGGCTGAGTGCCCCATACCATGGACACAGTCTCTGAGGGCCAAGCCCTGCCCCAAGCTTGCCGATTACATGATCTCAGCTAATCCTTATACAAGTCGAGGGAAAGAAAAGAGGATTTATACTACTACTAATGAGGAACCAGAGGCTCAGAGAGGTTATAGAAGTAGTCCCGTATCACACAGCTTGTCAGGAGCAGAGCAAACTCAGAACCCAGAGCCTGTGACAGGGCCACACTGAACCCGAGGTTAGAATTAGTTTGCACATCATTCCACATACCTTTACTCAGAGGTCATGAACCTTGAGAGGGGAACAAGGACCAGGGTGAGGAGGGGGCCCAGAGAACAGCCCACTCACTCTCAGGGGCTCCCTCTTAGGGAGTGTGCAACAAGGGCAGCCCCAGAGAGCAACTCTTCCTTAGACTTGGTCCCTGGGTACTTCGCCTGCCTCCCCAGTCTGCCCCTGAGGGATCTTGAGATGAAAAGCACAAGATGAGTTCAGAGCAGTGGTCCCCGGGGCTCACCTGTGAAGGCTCCAGTATGACAAGGCATCTTGAACTGGGCAGTTCTGACGGTGCTGAGGGTGAGTTCTGTCAGAGGACTGATTCTCACCCTTGTTTTTATTACAATTTATTTCTGGGAAGCAGGAAAGCTGGGCAGAAAAATCAAGTGGGAGTGTGGAAAGCATGATGTTTATTTTCGTAGAGCTGATAAACATCTGAAAAGTGGTAGCGTGGGGTCGCTTGAGGGGTGGAGGGGTCACCCAACTGGTATTGCCTTGGGGATGTACCTTTGGAGACTAGCTCCTTTGAAGCTGGGGTTCCACCCATGACTTAAGCCAAGATTCCTCCTAATTCACTATAACTATGTACAGAGCGTGTGTGTGTGTGTGTGTGTGTTTCATTTTTAGGATTCCGCTATCAAAATTTTATAATCAGATGCTGAAAACAGTCATGAAATAATTTAGAAAAGGAGTGCGTTTGAATTTTGGATCATGGAGAGATTTGTTTATCATCTCAGTCATGGTGAATGCTACTGATTAACCCTATTTTCTGTAACATCAGCTGGGTTGATTTCTGAAACTAAATAAACCATTAGATGTGTACAACAGCATCAAGAAAGGTATGGCTTTAGTTTTGAGGTAAATAATGAGTGATTTGGAGATGTTTAGTAGTGTCAAGGACTTCACATAAAATAGGGGTTACGTTTTTGTAGAAAAGTAAGAGGACTTGACCAGCAAGGACTTGGGGATAATATTAGACAGAAATAGACTCCCTGAGAACTCTAATTTCTGGACAGTCCCATCCTGATCCTTTGAGCCCTGATGTGGACCCTAACTTTCCAAGGATTGCCCACAATAATGAGTCCTGTGCACCCACGTTTGTCTGATTCATTCCTCACCATCCCGCACTCAAGAAGTACGGGTGGGCTGCACAGCCCCAGGGTTAAGACCACTTACTCTGGCGTCGGCCTGCATGGGTTTGAATCCCGGCCCTACTGACTGTGTGGCCATGGGCAAGTCACTTAACTTGTGTGTGTCTCAATCCCTCATCTTATAATGGAAATGACAGGACTCTCAGCGGCATCGTTAGGCAGAGGTGGCCCAGAGCCAGGGATGTAGTAAACCCCCGTTAAAAGTACCCTGCCCCATAATGCACTCTCTTCCTGTCTTGTTCGATAATACAGTATAATCACATCCTGCCTGGCATTATTGCCATCTGTTGCCTAGAGATGCAGAAAATAATTTTGGTCATCTTGGAGTTTTATCTGTCACAATTGAGAGAGCGTGTCTCTGTTATCCCATGTCACCTGTTTCTCTTCTAATAAAATAAGGTGGGGGGAGTTCAAGGGTCCCTGCTGGTAGTGATCCTGCACATTACTGTGGTTACTGATCTCTAGTCTTCCCTTCAGCAGGAGCAGGCTGCCATGCTTGCCTTGCTCTAAATGTACCAGACGAGGGTCTTCAGCACCCAGGGCTTCTGGGTTCTCATTATTCAAACAAGGTAGACAGGCGTGACCTTCCAGCCTGCTGTGACGGCAATTATGCAGGTGGCCGCTTTGCTTCCTGTCTGGTTTTACAGTCCCCAAAAGGCACTTGGAGTCCTTCCCTGAATGTTGGCTTTGGTTTCTGTTGCTCTGTGAATCTTAAGTTTGCCCTGATGAACTTCACATATATGGTGGGCTCTGACTTATTTCCACAGAACCCATTTTCATGTTAAAGTTCAAAATCTCATTCTGTACCTACAACAGAAAAATGACTAGGAAACTTGGTGAGACTCACTGGGTAACCTAATCCCTTCATGGTTTCCCAGTGTCAAGAAATATGATAAATATCAAACAGGGAAAGATTGGGGGGGGAGGGGGCCTTACTTTGACACCTCAGAGTCCAGCGGTTTTTCCACGAAGGACATCTACATTGTTGTAGGACAAATAAGGTTTCATCTGTGGCAAGAGACTGTCCAAATGACAGAGCTGCCCATTCTCTGGGTGACCTCCACAGTCTGCTGGGACCTCCATGGTCTCTGCTTCTCAGCTGTGAGGGTGGGTAAGGCTGATTTCAAGCACACTGGCAACACTGAGTAACAGGTCTTGCCTCTCCACAAATTTAGGAGTGTCACTGAGGAGGCCCAACGTTGAAAGGTCTCCCTCTGGGAGAGGCAAAGGGTACACATTTCCATCCTGTGAGACCCACCTGTGAAAATACCCATAGGCAGCCTGGAGATTCCCTGTGTCTCCCCTCACGTTATTTTGCAATCCCACCATGAGAAGCGTGGCAAGGCCTGTAAATGGCTAGTGGGTGGAATGTGCATACAGACAAGAAAGTACAACACAGGGTGTGCCGGGAGCCCCTGACACACCCCGAGGTGGCAGTACTCCTCAGTCACAGTTGTTTGTCTCAACAAATGACACTCTGTTTTGGTTTAACTGCTGGGTGTCTTAGCACCATTCACCTAATTATTATACAGTAGCTTTCAAAGGAAATTAAACTGTAAAACCACAGCACCATTTCACACCCACCAAGATGGCGAATGTAATAAAGGCCGGGGCACTGAAGATGGTGAGAATGTGGAGCAAAGGATCCTTCATACACTGATGGCCCACGGGTGCAAATGTTTAGGGAAACTCTGGCAATTTCTTATAATGTTAAACTTACATCTATGTGTGGTCCAGAAATGTCACTCCTAAGTATTTATCCAAGAGAAATGAGGCCATATATCTATTCAAAGACTTATAAAATGATGTATAGCAGTCTTATCCATAAAAGTAAAAAATTGGAAACAACCTCATCTCCAGCAGTAGAACAGACACGAATATAGTATAGTCGTCCTGTGGAGTACTGCACAGTAATGACCAGGGAAAAGAGACTGATATCCACAACAACATGGATGAGTCTTAACAACATTTTGCTGGACTTGGATGGAACTGGAAAAGATCATGCTTAGTGAGATAAGCCAGAAAGAGAAAGAAAAATACCGGATGGTTTCACTCATAGCAGGAGTATAAT